TGTGTGTGTGTGTCCGACCTTGCTCCAGTTGTGGTGATCCTCAACACTGTCAATGGACAGGGCGATCATCTTCACACCACGTTTCTTGAACTCATCGCTGACCTTGGCGGCACAGGCCAGTTCTGTGGTGCAGACCGGAGTGAAGTCCTTTGGGTGGGAGAACAGGACACCCCACCTGCAGAGGATAGGATACACATCAGAAACCTCAGCATGGAACAAAAGTTGTATTGATAAAGCACCAAGGTCATTGTGATCCAGTGTTAAGGTTCGATTTTTATTGAGTGGCCGTGTTATGTCCTGCTATAGGTTCAAGTTCAAGTAGCCACATGTTATATGACGCCAAGAGCTACACAGAAACAGACAACATTCACTAAACTCTCGGTCTCAATCATTCAGGACATGATGTCTTCAGGAGTTCTACATATCTTCACAGGCAACAAAAACAAGAAACACCAAAAAGGTGAGTAGCGTATGAAGATTTCACTGCTGTGCATTTACACAGATGGAATTTGAGGTATTAAATGTTTGCATTTGTTCTGTCTTGTGTGTTTTCTCTACTAATGAATTGATGCACACACATATTCTTATCAGGGACACATAAAGTCCAGAATTTCATGATTGAAAAAGAGTCAAACAGACTGATAGGAGAAAGAGGTGTGAGTTTAGTCAACAGGATCAGGGGTGAATGCAGGGATGCGGCCAGGGGGGCATTGGCCCCAGCTAATATGTAACTTTCCCCCTGTCCTGTCAGTAGGCTTTTTTTTTGTAGCCACACTACTAATAAAACTAACAATAAATATGTAATGTGGTTGGACAAGGAAACACTTTCAAAGATATATTCATTGTGTGGCTTCTTTGTGGGCTGTGCACCAATGATTGTTAATGGATGTTGGGCATATAATTGCCTGAAAATCACACAAGTTTCTTCCCTCTCATGATTCTCCTCAGTGTTTTGTAATGTAGTGTCACATGGGGTAGAGGCAACAGAAGAGCTCCTCCTCACAGGCATTGTGATCACTTTATTATAGAGTGACCAGAGGCCTGGATTAGAGTGGAACTAGTTGGTTCAAGTGGAACAAACTGGAAGCTGGTGTTAATTTAAACCGTCGAACAACATAGTGGACATTAGCTGTTCTCAAAGCTATCTTTCCATTTGACTGACTCCCACTGGTAGACATGAGCTCGACCAGCCTTTGCTGAACAACAATGAGAAGCTGGAAAACTAGGACACAATTACAACAGACTGTCGTCTCTCTCATTGAAACAGGAAAGAAGGAATATAACTGAGCAGAGTCCTTACACTGATAAATAGACACTTTCAGCATAATAGTTCAAGTATGTCTGACTGGAAACTACAGGGTCATTGATGTAACACCATATCTGCTCATCCATTGAGGGTCCAAAGACGTAAAGCTGCCATATTATCAATGTGTTATTTTGATTATTTTAGTAAAACATTTAGTCTATAAAATCTTCAAATGCCTTCTTTTATCTGCATTTACAAACCCAGTGCTGAGGTGAACAGGGTTTTAGATCAGAGTGAATTCCAACAGGCAGCGAGGCACTGTCCCATGTCCACTCCAAACAATACAGGCCTTGTCCTGACTGTGGCAACATCTCGCTAATGAAGCGCCTGGAGTCTGCAGCTGAAACAAGTTTGTTAATCTAAGCTATTTAAAAACACAAAGATAAGATTTATTGATCCCATACCAGGGAAATTCACTCTTTATATTAGCATGAGGTCTTATGTACATGAGAATATGTACATAAGACTAATCTTTCAATACATATGGAAATGATATTATATTAATATTTGTAGAAATAGGTACTCGAGTAAAATGCAAAGGGTAAAGCTTGAAGAGATTCACCTATTACATTATTAGTTTTATTGTTGGATCACATTGATGTTGTAATATGCTTTTCTAATAATCAGGTTCACTGCACTAAGTTATTTTAAATCAATGCTGAAGACTTTCCTGTTTGACTTCGCCTTGACTAAATAAATACTTATTTCTTACGCTGCATTGTTACTTTAGCACTTATTTCATATTTTAACTGCACTCTTTTTAAATTGCATGATCTGATCCAAGTCTCACGCTTATGTGAGCCTGTCTCATTCAGCCAGCAGGTGTCACTCCAGTCACCGTCACCTCCTGGTTCAATCACGCGATCTGCTCTTTTAACTCTTAATCCTTCAACAGATCAGACACGTGTCAGATCCTCGGTCCGACTTCAAGCCTTCACGTAAACACACCGTGTGGCTCAATGCAACGTTGCACAATCGATTCAACTGCTTTTCAAAAGCCAGCTCAAACTCAGAATAAATGAGACTGCAGTGATCATGCCAGTGAGTGGATGGAGCCTGCGCACTTACGAGCTGCCCAGGAAATCGTGGAACTTGATCCTGCCGATGGTGGTGTCGGCCTCGAAGTTGGGGAACACGTCTCCCAGCAGAAGTCCAGGCATGTTCCCGTGTGAGTGGCTGCAGATCACAGGTCAGAGAAAAGACTCAAGTACACTGTGTTCACTGGTGAGAGCTGCACCACATGATTGGACCCGGAAGGGGAGGGACTATAGCTCAGTGACGTAGCTCCTCCACCAACCATGAAAAAAGAAATCTGAAATCAATTTGATTGATTCGACACACCAGCAGAAATGTATCGAAGGCATAACAAATAATGTAAAATAATCAAAAAGTCAACTTATTGGAATTTACACATTTAAAGTGTGTAGCATGCACAGTACAAATCATTGACACTTCACTTATGTGCTACACTAAATCAAAATAAGAATGACGTGATGAACCAGATTCCTTTTTAAATACTTTGTAAATACAGAAATTAATGCCATTTATTATTTTCATTATATAATAATGACATTATTATTATTTCAGAATATATGCATATATACACACATACACCAGAGACTCTTTCATGTGCAATAATACTTATACTCATATTTATCAATCCTCATTTGCACCTTTTAAGTTGTTTTTATCCTTGCTTGGTTTGAGATTCTATTGTTTGATTTCATTGTATTTATTTGGTTTTTGGATTCTACTTCTATTTCATTGCTGTTTACCAGGACCTCAGTACATATCGCTCCCTCTCATGTACCTCATGTTTTAGAATGACAAGAAATCTTCTTCAATCTTCAATAAGTGTGTTTGTATATATGTACATGTGTGTGTGTGTGTGTGTGTGTGTGTGTGTGTGTGTGTGTGTATACTTTGGAAAGGATAATCAATCCATTTATGATAACATTTTGATATTTTCATTTGTATTCCTATGCTTAAGGAGATAAGACAGTAAACATTGAATCTTCTTTAATAATATAAAGTATATGAGTAATATTCAACAAGCTCTTATCTGACTTGCACTACAGTACTTCCGGGTTACCCAGCTTCCTGATGGAAACTACGGCAGCCGGAATGTCAATAGTGAAGCCAGAGCAGAAGACGCGACAGATTATCAAATCGCTGCAGAACATCTGGTGCTGCAGAACATCTGGCGCTGCGGTGCTCCCTCTGCACAGTCACTCTCCACCGGTACGTTCACAGACAACATGCCGTCTCCTAAAGCTAAAAACATGGCTCGCAGCGGAGGAAGCCCGGTGTTCGGCAGCTCCAATGGCCGCTACGACTTCAAGTCACTGACGAAGCCGCTGAACCGCTCCTCGCCGCCGCCACACCTCCTTCAGCGGCAAGGCTCCGACCCGACCACGGCTCGGCTCCGGGCCTCGGAGAGCCCCACACGACGCCGGGGCTCCAGCTCCTCCACGGGCTCGGCGCCGGACGAAGACGGGATACGGCTGAACCCGTCCTTCATCCGCGTAGCGCTCAGCTCCCTGCTCGCCATCGACCTGTGGCTGTCCAAGCAGCTGGGGGTGTGCGCCTGCGAGGACTCGTCGTGGGGCAGCATGCGCCCCCTGATGAAGCTGATCGAGATATCCGGACACGGCATCCCCTGGCTGGTTGGGACTGCTTACTGTCTGTACAAGAGCGACAGTGCTGCAGGACAAGAAGTCATGCTCAACCTCTTCATGGGTAAAACAACATCTCTGCTAACATGTCTCCTTACAGGGGGTTAAAACACAGTGAGAGGAGACCTCCCCATTTCACATGGTCTCCCCCCTGGCCTTGATCCAGATGTTTTCACTACCTATAACCTGCATGTTTTCTCCAGCTGTCATATTACATATGTTTTGTCATCTGTATCCCTCAGCTTTGCAAACTGATTCAGTGATATGGTGCCTGAATGTATTGTGCATTGCACAACTCATCTCCAACCCACCACGCTTTGTTATTATTATCACTCATAACTTCTACTGTGTGGTGTCCTTTGGGTTGGAAACCAAACATGGGTCATCAGATATAGTTTTTATTTTTCCCTTTCCAGTACTATCCCGATACCTGGACCTAGGATATCTGCCGATACTGCGTATTCATCATATACCAGTGCATTTAGAAAATAAAATATTTCAACAGTTGTATGCTAATAACCCTGTGTGGAGGAGACAATAACTATAATTTTTGTATGGCCTGGATCAGGTTAAACTTTTAGCATATCTAATTGCAACCTGGCTAAATATGCTGTGGCTCCAAATTTTCAATTAGAATCAGCTCCTCTGCTGCTAGCTGGTCTGTAGCTGGTGATGGTTTTCATTCCACACCAGACCTCCCTCATGTTGTTGTGCTGGAGTTTCCCCTCCAGCTTCCTCCTGTAGCTGTCCTTTGCCTCCTTGATCTTGTTTTTCAGGTCCTTCTGAATAGTCCTCAGCTCCTCCCTGTTGTCACGTCTGAAAGCACTCTTCTTCTCATTGAGTATGGAGTAACAGTCCTTGTTGGGACATTGCAGTCCACACAGAAGTTTATGTAATGCGTGATGCACTCTGTAAGCCCACCAATGCCCTGTCCATGCGGCTCACACAGTGCACCCCAGTCAGGCACCTCGAAACATGCCTGCAGTGCCTCATATGCCTCCTCTGACCATCACCTCACTGTCTTTGTGTGTGTGTGTGTGGGGGGGTGTTTGTCCTTTCTGCCCTTTACCTAGGTGAACCTCTTGTTCACTTTCGTGTGACGGCTCCTCAGTTGCTTTATGAAATTGCGAGTCAGTCTCAGCTTTCAATCATGTGGCTTCATTCAGGTTTTATAGCATCAAATAACTAATTAAACCGGAAACTAATTGGACAAATGAACTCTTGAACCAATATCAGCCTGAAAAGAACCACCTCAAATGACAGAAAACATCTTAAACACATCGTGTTGTTGATAGGTGGAGGCCAAAAATACACAAAGACAAACACAAATAATGGATTTCCACAAAACTGGGCGGAAGGATGCAGTGTGGGTCAGGGAAGAACCCATTCAAAAAATGTTTTCACCATTTTCTCAGAGAATCATTCTTGGATCTTGATGAAAAATATTTTTGGGGCCCTTTGATTGAATGTAAGGAGACTGATTGGCCTTCTAACAGTCAATACAGATGCTGCTTGAGCAAATTATAAATATAAATTAAGTTTACATATTGTCAGAAGTATGAGGACAAACCACTGTATTGCTTGTGCTATGTAATCCTGATTGGACAGGGTCATCAAGCCTCAGAGTTTCCTTCAGGAAGACCTCACTGTTTGTAGGAGGTACTCTGCTGTGATATGAATGTTTGCAGCAGGGATTCAGTGGAGGTAAAGGGTTATTTCAGTAAACATGGCCTCTGGTCCTTTGCATTATAATAGATTTGTCTAAACTACCAGATGAGATTTTGTGATTTTTTTTGTGGTGATTTTATGAGATATTCACCTCTGCAAACCAGGCAAGCATAAAGAAAGTCCTACTTTGATGTCTGGAGAAAAGAAGTAAGATCGTAAAGATAACCGGAATGAAACTACATGCAGCAGTTTGTTCACGTCAAAGATAGAATAAATGTTTTTTGCATTTTTGAGCCTGATGCTTATAACTCTGCTTATCAACCAGAGCTTTAAACAACCGCATTCGTTTGACCGGAAGGGTTTTCACTCATGAATAAAAATAGTGTTGCATGATAATTTAATTGAAAACCATTTTGCTTCTCACTCAGCAGTTGTTAATAAATCTCATTGCTCAATGCAATGACACAAAGAGTCCAGTATGCTGTAGTGAATGCTCTCACTCTTCATGAGAAAATAACACATTTATATTGAATACGCCAACCTTGAGAGAAAATAGTGTTTTTTTGCAGCATTTATTCCAGCCAGTTCCATCTTACTGACTGAAACTTTGTTTGTTTTTCACATGCTACATTTTAAATGGACTAAAAATACAAAAGAAATTCATCCAAACCTTCATTTGACATATTTTGATCTCAAAATGTCTGTTGTGAAAAAGTCCTTATCCATGTTGCATATGCTGATATATCCACATGGTTGGTTTGCATGTTTGTTTGTTGCGTGTATGTTGGATACACAAAAACAACTGATCTGATTTCCATGAAACCTGGAGGAGGGATGTGGTACGTGTCAGGGAAGAAGCCATTTAATTTTGCTGTGTATCTGGATCAGTTTGTTTTTCACTTTCAACATTGTGTGATGGGGAGTTTTTAAACATTTTCATAGTTTTCTCAGAGAATAATAATAATAATTTATGGATCTTGATGGGGGAAAAATCAGGTACATTTAGGGATAAGTGTGTGCACCTTGGTGTAGCTTGATTGAATTCAACTGTAGGGCCTTGGTGGAGGTATGCACTCTACTGAAAAGTACTTGTATCGGTTTGTTCTGTTTTTTGTAAGCCCAATAAAAGAAACAGAGTCCTTAGGTAATATTTATTTTTCTTTAGAGTCATCTAACCTTTCAAATTACTAAGTTTTCTGGCCACCAATTACATTATACTACAGACAGTATATAAAGATGGCCAATGCATCTCCACTTCCTCTCGTTGTATAAAACTGAAGCTAAGATATCCTGGATGTGGGTATCGTCATCTTGCACTTTTGATATCATTCGGCATCAGAGTCTGCACAGTAATGATCGTGGTGTGTAGCAGTAGTGCTAATGTTAAGCCAATACACATGCTCAACCAATCACGAGTCAGGCTCAACTGTCAATCATGACGTTTCACCCTGTTCATATGGCATCAAATAACTAATTAAAACAAAACTTAACCACCACTGACCCCTTTTTTATTTATTGAACTCAGGTGCTTCATGTCTGTTTATCAGTTTCACTGTGATTGCATGAAAACAGATTCCTCACACATTATTCTGTAACATTTCTCTTCCTGTCTTTTAGCCTTGCTGTTGGATATCATCCTGGTTGGCATTGTTAAGGCAGTGGTCCGTCGACGTCGGCCATCATATAACCGCATGGACATGTTCGCCACTTTTTCCGTGGACAGCTACTCCTTCCCTTCCGGCCATGCCACCCGTGCTGCCATGTGTGGACGTTTTTTGCTTGCTCACCTCGTGCTGGCCGCTCCGCTGAGGGTCCTGGTCCTGCTGTGGGTCGGCCTGGTGGGGCTGAGCCGAGTGATGCTGGGCAGGCACAATGTGACTGATGTGATGTTTGGGTTCTGGATGGGCTACTGGCAGTACAACCTGGTGGAGATGCTGTGGCTCTCACCTCAGACCCTGCAAGGAATGGTGGGACAGTTAGCTTAACTCAAAAGACTGAAGGAGGAGGGAACGTGGCAGTTTAAATCCTGATTGTAAGAGCACCTGCACACCTTTTATGAGACGATTGATGGTTGAGAGGAAATCTCTAACACACATATTTTCTTCTTCTGTTGTCTTAAATCGAGCTTCTTTTTTAGACCAGAAGGGGGCAGATTTGACCAGTTTATCTCCTGAATCCACATCAGTTAACCTGATTCATGGATAATATGAAATTTGAAGTGGGACAGTTTCTTTTAACTTGGGCAATTAGATTGGTTGCAAGTATACATTTGATGTCAATCCAAATAGACTCCTTCTAGGAGAATAGCTGAGATAACTCATGATGGTAAATGTG